GGCACATTCAGTAAAGCCCTTGAGGGTAGGAGGCCGCATCCTAAGAGCCACTGGGCTTGGGCTTGGGCTTGGGCCACCTTTCTGTGCAGTAACACCTGTTAAGGAGGACGAAGCACAGCTCACACGGAGGCTCAACAGCTGCCCAGTTCTGCCAGCAAGCTGCTCACCATTCCTCACCCAGGGCTCAGGTTCAGCACCATCTGGGTCTTTATGGACTGGGTGTTTCCTCATCACCATGAGGAAGTAAGGCCAGCAATATTCTTATCTACCAGGCCAGACCATAAGCAGATGAGGCAGACCCAGACATTACCACTGACTTCCCTCAATATCCTAGAGCGCCAGAAGAGGGAAGGAGGGCGCAAAAATAGTTTGCCAGACCTAAAAGTCAACTGTCAGCTCTGTTCGTCTGAACCACTGAAAGGAAAGGGGGACAAGGCATCGGCTCAGCTCTGCCCCCTACCCTGCCTCTGCCAAAGCCTTTCTGCCCGACTAACAGGGAAGCGATTGGCCTTCATATGCAACATCCCTAGGCAAGTCTTTGTGCCTGTCACTGGAACAGGCCTAAGGAAAGACAGCCAAAGAAAATCAGTCAGTGCAGAAAAGGAGTTCAGCGCTTCTGCAGCTTAGGAGTTTCCCCATCTCCTTCTGAACGCTATGGTTTCTTCAGTAATTTGCAGCAAAGAGCCCGTTAACAGGTGGCTACAGATAAAAGGTGCTGGAGTAGGAGGAGATGGTCTGAGCAGCTAGCTGTTCACTTCAGGAGGCATAGGATCAAACGCAATTTAGGTAACAAGCAAAATGAGACTGGCAATCTCAGGCCAGCTATCCGGCAAAATTTAACCCAACATATAGTTTGCGCTGCTCAGCAAGGCCCAGAACCGCAGCCCTACGCATGGTGCTGCTGCAGCCTGGTCCTGCCATGACCACTGCCTGGATGGTGTGCCGGGATGGTGTGCCGTCACAGCGGGACATTCTGGCAGGTCAGTACACAGCTGTACCAGCATGAGAAAAGGGAAGGAGTTGGCACAGTTCCTACCTCAGACCTATGGGATAAATTTGAGAGCAAGAGCATCAGGGAAGTAGGCTAACAGCAGCAATGCAGAGCCTCACACCTAGCACCAGCCTGACAAACACCTGATCTGCACCCCTCCTGGTTTACCCAACCCTTGCTCTCTCCCTGCAGTGGGTTTTGCAACATGAAGAAATGGTCTAGGCTGGAAAACAACAAATTCATTCACTTTTGACTAAAGGCAACAACTACTTTTGGAAGAAACAGAAATTTAGAGAACTGTAGCAGGAAACATTAATAGCAAACATTTTTTGTCCTGTAAAGTGATGAAGAGTCCACTTTGGCAATGGAAAAAAATCCAAAAGTCACTAACAAGGGAAAAAAAAAAGACAGAAGTCAGGGAGTGTGTTTTTCAGGGTTCCACATATCATTGTGCCAGTCAGAGTTAAATTAGTAAGGACTTCTACTCTTTATTTCTGGTATTCCATGAAGAGGATGAAGATGGAGAGGACAAGAAACATGTCGCAATCTCTCAAGAGTGCTGGGATTTGTTTTTAGAGCCATGCTTGCAACAACCGGCCAGCAAACACATGCACACAAGCACACAGAGGGCCGAATGCTGACTTCACTGGGCCCAGGATCAGCTCAGAAAGACCACGTTCCTCCCTACAGCCCCAAGTCTGCAAACATTTAGGTATACAAATAGCCCCACCACAGCTAGCAGGACATACTGTGACGTTTACACTTAAGTGTTTTCAAGGTCTGGACTTCAAGAGAGAACTAACCTGATATCTCAGAGCCGAAAGGCAAGACATTGGCATAGTATTCCTTTTTATCCCTGACAGCCTCTCACCCTCCTCTCTGAATGCTACAGAAAAATGCTCTCCTCAAGCAAAAAGGCATCCAAACGCTGTAAGCTGGGACAGTCTTCCCTGGGGAAGCATATGAGATGACTGCATGTTCAATCTGCAAGAGAGGAGGGAAGCAGGGACATCTGGCATTTAGTATCCCAACTCTAGGAAATGACTTAAGAGTTAAAATAAAAATCATTCTTGGGTGGGCAGCACTCCAGCAAGATAAAATATTCAGCACCATTATGTTCCCGGACACCGTATTTCTGACAATAAATTTCATGCCTCATATGCCACAACTGTTATGCGATTGCAGTCAATAACCAAAGAACAGGTCCACATCCTTTCACAGCAACCCAAGAAAAAAAATTAATAAATATACCTGACAAACCTGAGGAGGGTATTTTTATTATTGTTATTTACTGGTACGTCACTGTGATAGTCAGGCCTGAATTGAAAAGGGAAGAATCATTTCTGGCACAGCACCATCCCCAGCACTTACTCTATTCGTAAACCCATGAAAAATAGCAGTGGCCCGACCCACTGCATAAATGGCAGACTCCACTCAATTCAGGAGGATTGCTTTTGTCTTCTGTGACACTGGAGCACTTTTTTTCCCCCATCTCCAACATCCTTCACATAGAGGTTGCACTACAGCGTCTACTGCAAGCACCCCCTATGCCACAGCAGACATTTAGCATGTCCCAAGCTAAAGCAGCAACCCCTAAAAGAGAACATGAGCACGCGCCTGGCTAAAAATCAGGCTCTACCATCAGGATCAAATTACCTCATGTTTCTTTATCCTTCCTGTCCCACGTGGGACAGGTGCTTCCAGCTAGATGGACGTTTCAAGTGAAAATGGTTTTCCCTTCTCACCTGTGCCTGCTCCTGATGGATCAGGTGGCACCACAGCTTTGGGAGCTGGCACTGGACTCTCGCGCCTTCATCCTGATTGCAAACCAGCATGACATCGGCTAGAAAGTCCAAATTATACTGAGGCAGAACCTTTTACAGAAAAGGAAGCGTGGACTGAATTCCAGCCTTAGGAGTTAGTCACCACCCTTGAAGTTTCCACCATGGTTGCAACAGAATATGCAATTGCTTTTTTTTAAATTCATGCCTCAAAGTGGGTTATGCAGTACCACTTTTGACATTAAACAGCACCCACACTGCAACCCAGATGTGCCTGTGTGCAACTAGGGGGGTAAGATAACTCCTGGTAAATACAGCTCCTAACTCCTCAGGATGAAACACTCTATGCAAGTACAGATTTCACACCAGTGAAGCTATGCTAGTTTGCACTGGCAAGTGATGTGGTCTTTAAGAAAAGTGTCATTCACTTGAAATTCTGTTTAAGTATCAAGATTGAATTCCATATTCCAAGTGCTTCCCGTGGTGATCCACAGACAGCCTCTGCTTGTCTTTCTTTGGCATCAGTTTTAATAACTGAATGCTGTACTTTTCACTAGCTCATCTCCCGCTTCAGGTGTTTTATGCATTCACCAGATGATACAACAATAGTGCACAGATCCCTCCCTTCCTTCACTAGTACATTCCAGAATGGATTTCCAAAACCCACAGTCCTTCTGTAGGCAGTTCATTTTGTGTTAATCCATTAAAGTGATGCACTGTATTCCACCAGAAGAATTAAGCAGAACAAGCGGGAAGCACTCTTACCTGTAATTGACTGACTGGCCAATAGGAGTCAAGTACTGGCAAATTGGAGGTGTAATTTCTAATTAAATATGGCATTAAAAAATGACACAATATATATCTATTTAACATGCAAAGGACCGAAATCAAAGCTAATAAGAATAAATGGTAATAAAGGACATGTGGGAAATTCAGTAGCCTTTTATTTTAATGTGCTCTTCTAAAGAGTAGGCTGTCTGTTGTCTCTATGCACTGCCTAGAAAACTTACATCCAAGGGTCTAAGCCCTTGCTGACATGCAAAGTTGCACTGCATAAATGCACAGATACAATCAAAAATATTTGGTGAAACCAAACTGGTGCAGATGTTTTTCACGCTGCACATCAGGTTCATACCAATTTAGTTTAAGTTAAATTGGAATGAAGGCAAGTGAAACCCAGATTAATTATTCTGAAGCTCAAATATGAATTTGAATGAATGGTTGAACTTTGAACAGTTTTGCAACTCTTTAATTAAACTCCTTTTAAAATGCACTTAAAATAGCACTACTTCTGTCTTTAAACAATGGATTACAACCAACAGTATAAAACATGAACAATTCTGTTGAAGCCAATGTAGTTACACTGGTGTAAGCAAGACAAATAAGAGATCCATAAATCATTAACATCTAAGAAGAAAATGCCACCGCCATGAGAAAATACAAATACACTCCATCCTTTTTTTCTAAGGCTGGGGCAACATACTTACCATGCTGCAGATGCCTATCGTCTTTAGAATTAAAAAACCACAACTCTAATTTCAAATTATTCCATTTCAAATTATTCCATTTCAAAACAGCTAGTCAGCGCAACGGTGTTGGGAAGGAGAAAACAGGAAAGATCTCAAAGAGCGTTCGATCCACAAAGCTAATAAACCACGATGAAGCTTTTCTCTAAGTGCCCTGACCCAACTCGGAGCCATTGCTGCCAGGAAAAGAGGGGGATCTGGTCTCTGTAGCCTGTGGTACCTGGGCCCCTCGGTTAAGCCAGGAAGCAAGAGGCCACTGACAGCAGCAGGAACAGGGTTTTGCCTGTGGCACTTCCAAACAGAAGCCAAACAAGAATCACAGTTTTACCTACAATGTATATTTTAAAACCGCACTTCTAACGGCTAGTCATATTATCCGTTGAACCACTTCAGTCCCTGCAGGAAAGGTTAGTTGAATTTAAGATGCATTTAGCGTGTCATAGAGGAAAAAGCCCCATAGGTACAGGCTCAGATAGCAGTGACATGCGGCCCTAAAGAAAGGGACAGACAGATACAAAACTCAAGCACACACACTCAATGAATGCATCAAATCGACCAGCAACCAGAAGCAGAAAGAGCCATGATCCTGCGCACGGTGCTGAGAAAGTGACTTACTGCAAGTGTTCACACAGGTGATTTCTGTAGATGGGAACACTCATTGCCACAAGGAAGGTGACACAGGTAAAAAGAAAGACAGCTTACCCCTCTGAGCTGCTGGACTCCACCAAATATCCTCATCACTCCATCAACCTCCTGCTCCAGCCTTCTGGCCCAGTACTGCATACTGCAAGAGAGAGAGACAGACAGAGAGAGAGAAAGAGAGGAAAGGAAAGAAAGAAAGAGAGAGCGTCAGAGCCCTGACACTTAGTAGATAAGCAAGATAATTGAAGGGAGAGGGAGGAAATCAGTGCCCTCAGCTAAGTTTACTGCTCTGCTTCTGCGGTGCCCGGTGTGGGCAGAATACCAAGCCCAGGTGGCTTCTGAGAATGACAGCTGGGGCACGTTATAAGCTGGACCTTCGGTTAAGCTCGGCTTGAGCCAAACACCGATTCTGCCAGGTCCACTGTGGGCAAAGCTGTCTCCTGGGGCAGCGGAAAGGGCCACGAATTGCCACACATAGCACATGGCATCTTCATCCAGGGATCTGGCTGCCAGTCCTTCCAACGTGCACAAAACACCCTCCGATATAAACAAGCACATAGATTTTTCACTTATAGCAATAATACCAAGTTGAAACAACAACAACAACAACTCTTCTAAATCCACAGAACTTGGTAAGTCTCCTTTTAATGAGCTTGCCAGACTCCAGCCCATGGCCACGCAAATGTCAAATCTCCCATCTGGCCTGGAAGAGCACTGCTAGATTGCCTCTAGCCCACTTATTACCATAGTCGGAGTTTTTTCCACAGCCCCATTCTGCTCTAAATGCTATGCTGGAGAAAGCAAGGAAGGAATAAAAAGCATAGAAGCTCAGGGAAACTAAAGGGCCCGTAACACGGCAAAGGGGACTACATGGCTGTTGAAGAAATAGTGAGGGAGGAGAACAAGTAGAGTTTTTCACTTGGGATGAGTTTGCAGAATGATTTCATGCCTTATGCAAAGAGAAGTTCCCCAGACAGAGAAGGTACGCCCCTCAACCACCTGCACCACCATCTCCACCAAACCAAAGCAGCTCTCCTGGCAGTCAAGAAACTGAGGAACCCATCTAAGAAATATGACCGCAGAGGACTCGGACTGAATTATACAGCATGGCCCTGAAATGGTGAACGCTGGGCACAAATATAAAGGTAGAGATGTGCCCGAGACCCCCACCAATTTAACACTGAGAGAGCTGAAGCATCACTTGGGAGGAGCGAGGAGGTAAGAGAAAGAGGAAGGGACTGGCAGACGTGTGTTACTCACACAGGCAAAAACATGCCAGTTAATAACATATGAGGCTGTGGATGAAAACAAGATTTAATTGCACACGCCAAACCTTCAGAATAAGTTATGCTGAAAAACTCCGCTTCCAACGCACAGATCTAACGTTCTCTCTCAGATCTAATGCTGTTTCTTTTCCTTTGAGAGCGTTACTGGGGAGGAGGGGAAACTCAGGGAAGCAGATAGGAAAAGAAACCAGCCAACCCACCTTTCTTCTGAAAAAGGGAAAGCAAAGCCCTAGGGACTGCCAGTGTGAAGTCGAAGGGTCACAAGTGGAGCTGGGTGATTTTTTTTTTTTTCTTTTCAGTCAAATATTTTATTTGCCATCAAAGGTTTATTCAGGTTGGCCAAAGTTACTCATAACATTTCTTATGTTTAAAAAAAAAAATAACTTTTTAAAGATACCTAAGTCATGTACTTTAAAATATGTTTTAAACCCTCCAAAGTGAAATCATTCTTTTTCCAGTTTGGCCAGTGCTTGTGCTTCAGCCACAGGTCCAAGGAATCCTGTAGAGACCGTATGGAGCTGACACCTTGCCTTAAGTTCTAGCTACCTATAACATCTACCCATTCAGTGGCACCTGCCTGGGTCAGCTCCCTCCAGGGACACCTACATCATAACAGGAAATGAAGATTATAGCCCATCTTGATTTGTATCCATCAACTCTAAAAATTGCTCGTATTTCCAATGTACAGCCAAGCCGTCAGAGCGGAGTAGTTATACAGGAAGACAGACACATCACTATCAGTCTGTTTTTAAAAGCAACCAGGATGCACACAAGAAAGAGACACTGGGCATTCAGTGTCTTAAAGGGCTTGGATTTTAAATAAAATTTAACTAGCTCTGTTTAAAATTTGAAAAAATACTATTTTAGTGAAAAGCCACTGCATTTTGCCTTCATGAGAAACAGTGCGATTTGCTTTTATTGCAAAACTCAACTGACCTTAATCGTGCAGCCTTGCCTGTCAGCCCCAGGTTAGACGTTACCTGGCCCTCAACCTTACTTACTAGCAACGCTTATCTGAGACTTGGACTACTCTCGTCTGGCAGTACGAACTTTAAGTTACACTACCAAAAAGCGTGCATGTGCAGCGGGGAGGTACTTCTGCATAGCTTATATCAGATTTCCTAAATTAAATAAGTAGCAGCAAAAGCAGCTTCCTCTTCCCTCCTCCCCCCAGTGCAGTGTGGCTATACAGTAGCTTTTGCCAGAAGCAGAAAAATATTGTTTGCTTCTAACTAGCACATCCTTTGCCAACATCATACCATTGGCAAAAGCCCCTGTGTATATCTGACCTAAGCTTATTCACCCATTACTCCGTCACTACAGTAATGTCAGTGACTGGAAATGCTCTGAGCAAGCCACATCCTGGATTTTGGAGTTTTCACCTCTCATTTGCTAAGAAAAAAAAAGGAAGGGGGTGGGGGGGAAGGATAAAACCCATTATTATTCCATCTCAGTTGACCTTCTGCCTCTTGCTTCTCTCCCATAGCCACTGCACTTAGAATTTTATGGAAGAAGACTAAAGCAAGGATGAAAAGGGTAAAGAAACTGATAGCCCATTATGTACACAGAGATTTCACTTTGAAGCAAGTCTCATATGGAAGCCGTAAGCAATAAGACATGACAGTCATTGCATTCCCGGGCCATTATTGCACGCCTCAGGTGGCGTTACAGGGCTTGAGGAGCGATAAATCCTCAAAACACGCAGCTTGGAGTGCCTTACTGCTCTGGTGAAATGGCATTTACAAATAAAGCAGAAAGAAAACAGCTGATGCATGCACTGGCATGGATGCAATACTGCTCACAGAAAGCCACCAGGTCCCCTTTATGAGCAGCGTGCTCAGTCGCTCCCTTAAATTGAATGCCACTTTAATGTCCTCTGTAATGAATTAACATGGGAGAGGAGGAAACCTTTGAACTCGAGTCTTTGGGAATCCTTTCAGTGCCTGTGTAGCAACAAACACCGCACCCAGGCAGCCTGGCAGCCCGGTCATGCCACGGCCCCTCTTTAGCTGTGCCAGGCATAGCCGATCCCAGTAACCCCCATCATCTTGGCTGACCCTGCTGTGAGTAGGGGGCCTCCAGAGGTCTCTTTCAACCTATGTTACTTTATAGCTGTCATACACGCAAGTGTGACCACGCACCCGTTCAGGATATACATTAAAAACTCTTGCGTTAAACAAGTGTTTCTGTTTCCTTCCCTTGTATATAATATCCTGTGCAACATGTAACAAGGGACATAAGTCATTTCTGAAAACACAACACCATTTATCATCGTCTCTCTAAAGAAAACTACAAAAATGCTAATTGATTTGACAATTTGCATATTTGATTGTTGTTAAAGATGAGATAAAATAGGTTCAGAGGCAGAGCTTCAAAAATATTTACTGTGATGAACAGCACATGAGGAGACAAGTCACTGCTGCAGTCTCACCCAGGAAGCAGAGGTCTCCCCTGTCCCATTCCCACTTCTGCCCGGCCACTGCCACAGTCATGGAAAGATTCACTTAGGCTTAGGACACGTTTCCTGCTTTAGATGAGCTGAGTAGTTCTAGAGACTTGTGTGTGTGTCTACAGAAATCTCTGGTTTGTGAGGCTTAGCCACTGCTCCAGCTACCCCTAGGGAGCTGGAGGAAAATGAGAATTGCCTTGAAAGACGAGAGACAGGCTGTCCTTGGCCCACATCCTCCCACCCTTCTGCACACAACAGATGGCACTCTGGAATACGGGTCTTCTGCACAGCAGCTCAAGACATTCGCAGACGATCCACCAAAACAAGCCACGTGCTGACAGCCTTAAACCAGCACTGTGAGATTGTACCGCTGCCGCTCAGCCTAGAGTCACTGCTCCTCACCAGCTCAGGGGACCCGGGAGCCACGGGCCAGGACCCTTCACAGGCTGCTTTACTGACCTAGAAGTGGGTAAGGCCGTTTCACGCAGAGGTGCCCGAGCTAGGCTGGAGACCAGAGCCGCGTTACAGGACGGTCCATCCCGGCTGGCACGCTCTGCCGCTTCTCCCCAGCTACTCGCTGCCTCTGCAGGACACCATTCGGGGAGGTGCAGGCAACCGTACTGCCTTCTCCTGGAGGTGCACCTGGCAGCCCACAACTGCTGATGAATATTACCCTCATTGAAAGTTACCTCTTACAAAATCCCACAGAAGGAGAAATAAAAAGAAAGAGAATTAACTATCTATGTGCTGGAGTACTTGTGGGTGCTATTTTTTTTAGCAGCCTAAGGAAATTTCTCGTTTGGCTGTGGAAAAGAGAGGATGGTAAAAAAAGGAAGACTCGGTCCTCTTCTCTTGCCAGCTTGCTGGCCCAAAAAAGAGGAGAAAGATTCACACAAACATGAAAGGACAAGAGGAAAAACTACTTGCTAAGTGGATACGCTGCCCCAGAGCTTATTCGGAGAGCGTTCGGTACAAGTGTCTACACTTCACGCAGCGTGTTCAGCCAAGAATGCTTCACTCTGATTCATATGCTTTGGTTCAGTGCCCAAATATTGCTATTTAATAAGGTTATTAATTACTGTGTTGCCTAATTTTTGCTGTGCAGGAACTTCTTTTAATTGGCTTATTCCTTCAAGATGCTTAATCCTTTAACTATGATACTGCATGTGCCTGTGTGCGCATGTGTGTGTATGTATGCACTCATGCCCCTCTGAGTATTCTTCATTTCTTATAAACCTAGGCTGTAAAGCCCCACATGAGCTAATATTTACATGCCAAGGAAAAACAAGTTGCTATTTTTTTTTCAATAGAACTTCCAGACAGTACCAGTTTCTAACAAAATAACCAAATAAATTACTGATCGTGCTTCCAGACATTATCAAACCTCCTACACCATCATTTTATGAC